GTAATCCTCTTACTCTGGGTCAGCAGTCACATGACCAGCCGATGACATCACTGATCTCCTCCAATAGGACGGCTGCAGACGGACAGACAGCAGGAAAACAAACAAATCCTCACAGGTAAGCAAGTAGGTAGTATGTTGTTGCGTTGGATTATTGATCCGATATCATGTAATCTGATCAAACTAATCAATGAATCTAGAAATTGATCCACAGTCAATGAATAGAATCATTAGTTTCAGATTGATGTCTAATAAAAGGAAAAAGGCCATAAAGAGACTTTCAGTGAGAGCAGCTGGATGGTTTCTCTTCAGTATTCAGACAGGGACTATTATTGATCACAGAGTTCAAACCTAACCAAGGTTCTTGAAGATATCAGCCTCTTCCTGACTGGTCCAGAACTCCTCCTGGTCTGGACTGTGGTTCCTCTCCTGAACCTCGTCTTTACTCACCAACGGCTGCTGGAACCAGCAAATCATCAGTCTCAGGTTCAGTCTGGTAACCAATCAATATAACTTGCTCGCTGTCTCCTGTCGGACCGAGAGAGAACCTGCTCATGATCATGATGAGAGGTCATGATGAGTTGATATTGAGACTGTCGATTGTGGAAAAAAAACCTGTGGAGATTATTTTGGTTAGTCTTTCTTTCCTGGCTGCATTATTGTGAACTGTGACTTCATAAAAAAAAATTCAAAGTCAACATTGTAGTGGGAAAATACATTCAGAAATAAGGTTCTGTGAACATGAAGCAAACTATATATATATATATGTGCTATTTCATGTTTAATTTTATAGGCTTACAGTATAATATTTTATCTTCATGTATGTTCATCTTCATGTATTCACACTCTGGTTGTCTCACACTAGTTAGAGTTGTTATTCATTGTGCCATTAGCTAAGCACATTACAGAGACCAAGGCTGTCTCCTGGAGAGTAGGACATCAGATGTGTTATGACTGTTTATCAGACATTAGACGTCACTAATAGACACCCTTTGGGAAAGAGGAATATAATGAAGTGATTTTCTTTGTTCTGGTTGGTTGTATCCTGAGACAACTCGATTTGCTTGTATCCTGTGTTGATACAAATAAATCCTGCATGTGGAGTGAAACTGTCATTCTCACCATTCTGGGTTCCTTCAGTGGGAGTTTGTGGTCTTTCACTAGAGTCAGATAGCTGAAAGTGTAAGTCAGACAGACATTGATTGAGATGCATTGAGACGAGAAGAATTAAACCACAACAACAGGTAGTTTGCTTTTCCTCAACATCTGTTCAGCTCACTAACTGCAGCACTTTTCCATTTCATTTGTGATTATTTTCCTTTTTGTGACTTGTGCAGGAGCAACTGTATGTAGTGAAAATCTCTATATCGTCAACCCGGTCACTGAGTCAGCCGGTGGAGGATGGAGGTTAATGTCATACTTCACAACCACAGACTGGGGTGGAAGGAGCTCAGTGTGTAGGGACTTACAGCCGCCCCAAGGGTCAGATTCGAACCCACGGGGCAGCACGGATTCTGTGTACGTGGGGCGCCAGCTCTCAGACTGCCCAGAGTCTGTGGTTGTAAAGTGAAAATAATAATTCCTCCAATTGGGGATCAATAAAGTTAATCTTAATCTAGTCATTTAATGTAAAAACACACAATGTTCTCAATAAAGATCAAATAAAATCTGCACTTAGAGCTTCATCTTTACTTTATCTGGCCTTCAAAATAAAACTAGGAATAAAAACAAACAAAAATAAAACATTGAAATAATAATAAAATAATTAAAAAGCATATCAAAGTCACAGCTGTAATGTGTCAGTTGGACTGTATAAGTGTAACAGTGTTTACAGTCACAGCTGTTATATTCGTATTTATTACAATAAAGTTTTATTTTGAAGGCCGCTGGCGGAAGCGAGTGTTGTGGTTTCCGCAGTGTGACGTACAGGCTGTTAGCAGTGGACCGTTAGCTGAATGTAAATAACGGCAGAACAACCGGTACCGGTACCGGAGATGGACCGACACCGGAAACTGCTGGACGGGGGTTCGAACCCGGAAATAAAGCTGAGAACTACAGGTTGGGTTTCTGCTGCTTTACTGCTCTGCTAATGTTGCTAAGCTAAGGCTAGCTGTTAGCCGGGACTGCGGCTAGCCTTAGCTTAGCATTAGATTACCGTTAGTTTAGGGGTTAGCTTAGCGCGTTTTCTGTTATCTGGAAGCTAGGTCACGTTTAACCTCGGGCTGTCACCATGGTAACGGGTGAGATCACCATGGTAACGGGTCTGTTCATCGATTGATTAGTAAGTGGAAAGAACATTAATCAGCAACTATTGGGATCAATTCGTAATCAATACAGCTGGGGAGTTCAAATAATTATTAATTATGAATTATTAATTAAGTGACAATAAACAATAATCACCAGTAGAAACCGGATTGATTGATTTGATTGATACAATATTGATCAATGTACTATGATGCACATGGTAACCATGGTGATGGAACAGTATCTTTGATCACTGATTATGGCTTTACATCCAGACTGGTTATTTATGTCTTTTCCTCATGATCAATCAATCAATCAATCAATCAATAATCTGATGGTTCAGATTTCTCTCTGGAATCTGACTTTTATTTTGCAGAAATTATTTGTTTGTGTTTGTTTGGATATATTAGATTGATTGATTGTATTTAGATATATTAGATTGATTGATTGTATTTAGATATATTAGATTGATTGATTGTATTTAGATATATTAGATTGATTGATTGTATTTAGATATATTAGATTGATTGATTGTATTTAGATATATTAGATTGATTGATTGTATTTAGATATATTAGATTGATTGATTGTATTTAGATATATTAGATTGATTGATTGTATTTAGATATATTAGATTGATTGATTGTGTTTAGATATAGTAGATTGATTGATTGTGTTTAGATATATTAGATTGATTGATTGTGTTTAGATATATTAGATTGATTGATTGTGTTTGTTTAGATATATTAGATTGATTGATTGTGTTTAGATATATTAGATTGATTGATTGTGTTTGTTTAGATATATTAGATTGATTGATTGTGTTTGTTTAGATATATTAGATAGATTGATTGTATTTAGATATATTAGATTGATTGATTGTATTTAGATATATTAGATTGATTGATTGTGTTTAGATATATTAGATTGATTGATTGTGTTTAGATATATTAGATTGATTGATTGATTGTGTTTGTTTAGATAAATTTGATTGACTGATTGTGTTTAGATACATTAGATTGATTGATTGTGTTTAGATATATTAGATTGATTGATTGTGTTTAGATATATTAGATTGATTGATTGTGTTTGTTTAGATAAATTTGATTGACTGATTGTGTTTGTTTAGATATATTAGATTGATTGATTGTTTAGACATATTACATTGATTGATTGTATTTAGATATATTAGATTGATTGATTGTATTTAGATATATTAGATTGATTGTTTGTGTTTGTTTAGATATATTAGATTGATTGATTGTTTAGATATATTAAATTGATTGATTGTGTTTGTTTAGATATATTAGATTGATTGATTGTGTTTAGATATATTAGATTGATTGATTGTGTTTGTTTAGATATATTAGATTCATTGATTGTGTTTAGATATATTAGATTGATTGATTGTGTTTGTTTAGATATATTAGATTGATTGATTGTGTTTCGATATATAAGATTGATTGATTGTGTTTCGATATATTAGATTGATTGATTGTGTTTGTTTAGATATATTAGATTGATTGATTGTGTTTGTTTAGATATATTAGATTGATTGATTGTGTTTAGATATATTAGATTGATTGATTGTGTTTGTTTGAAGCTGATATTTAAATAAAGTTGAGTTGAATTATTGATCTTTACGGCAAACTCATATTATTACGAATTATTCTGATTACTTTGAACATAAATAACTAGTTTGGATGTAAAGCCGTAATAATAATAATATATATTGATTATATTCATATTGATTAATAATGATTTAATAATTGTTTACATTTATTCACATACTGATACGATACTAATAATAATACTGATACTAATAATAATATTAATACCGATACTTATAATAAATATTGATACTGATACTAATAATAATACTGATACCGATACTAATAATAATACCAATACTAATAATAATACTAATACCGATACTAATACTTATACTGATACTAATAATAATACTGATACTAATACTAATACCGATACTGATAATAATACTGATACCCAGAGTATCTGATACTGATACCGATACTGTACCCGAGTATTTGATACTAATATCGATATCGATACTAATAATAATACAGATACTGCATTGGGCGATATATTAAAATTTTCCAAGCGGCCTTCAGTCTAACAATCAATAGCCGATATATTCCTGGCCCAACCCTTGTACCTACAGTAGGAAAACAAATACTATCACGTTTTCAGAATTTGGCAGCCTCTTGGTACCAAAGTATCGGTTCTTGTGACACTAGAAGGGGGCCCAGCTGTCACTGAAGGTCTACTTTCCTTTAGGACCATCTAGTGGTCATTGGACCAGGCTCTAGTGGTCATCGGACCAGGTTCTAGTTGTTATCGTACCAGGTTCTAGTGGTCATCAGACCAGGTTCTAGTGGTCATCAGACCAGGTTCTTGTGTTCCATTAGGATCCTCCTTTCCTTCCTGATGTCTCTGTTTCCTGTTCTCTGCAGATGTCCAGCAGCTGTTAGTTAGTAAAGACGAAGTTCTCACTAAAGACTGGAACCCCAGTCTGAACCAGGAGGACCCAGAACCAGCACACATTAAAGAGGAACAGGTGGAACTCTTGACCCATCAGGAGGGGGAGCAGCTTCAAGGGTTCCTGTTCACTCCACTTCCTATTAAGAGTGAAGATGATGATGAAGGTTCAGGTAGGATCAACATGTTTATTTAAAATGTTCTGAGGAGAAAGGGGCACTAAGTTGAAGAGAACCTGATCTGTTAAAGAGAAATGTTTG